TTCCACCCGTTCTTTTCCTGGTTTCTCAGCCCTCCTCACTCCCTCTTTCTGTCCTGCCTGAACAGTTGCCACCAAAAGTCTAGTTTGCCTTTTCTCGCTCTCTGCCTCTCATCTGACATGCACCTTCTGAACCTCTCTCAGCAATTCATCCAATCCCTTTTCCTGCCAGTCTTCCACCTTCTCTAATTTCTTCCTGATATCCACCCACGACTTTGCCACAAACTGAGTTTTTAGTAAAGTATGGCCCACGGGTGTAGCGGGACCTACTCCTGAATATAATTGGAAACTTTTTCGTAACCTCTCAAGCCATTCTGTTGGGGTCTCATCCTTTTTCTGGTGCTCCATGAAAGCTTTATTAATATTTCTTCCCTTCAGAACCGAATCTCGGACCCCTTGGATTATAATTGTTCTTAAATCTTCCATGTGGCCTCTGTGGATTGAGTCTTGATTATTCCAATTAGGTCTATGTAAAGGCCACTTTTGATCCGCCGTTGGCCCTGCCTGGTGTTGCTGGTCCCAGAGCTTCATCCCCGCCTTTCTAATCATGTCTCTTTCCTCTACTGTAAACAAAATACTTAAGATGGATTGTAATTCATCCCAGGTATATAAATTTGGTCCCAAAAATTGGTCTAACTGTACTCCCACCCCTACGGGATCATCGAGTAAATTTCCCATTTCTTTCTTAAATTCCCTGACATCCCCAGTGTTTAAAGGGACTGCCACATATCCTGTCTCTGGCCCTCCTTGCCCATCCCCCCCCAGACACCAACATCTCTCTAAGTGGAAACAGTTTCCCCTCCCCCTGCTTTGCCATGCTGCGGGTAATCTGCCAAGGGGGGTTGTCGGCATCGGAGACTCAACATCTGAGTCCGAGCCCTGAGGCGGTGGTGTTTCTAAACCCCAGGAAGAATACTGTGGTGGGGGCCTTGAGGGGCAACCGGAGTGAGTCAGAAGGGATCCTCTTTATCCGAGTGAGGTTTACCTGACTTTTTCTCTCTTAATGCAAATGCTGATGCTTCCTCATCTGGTTCAGGAATCCATAATTCAGCATATTCCCTTTCTTCAGGGTTAGTAGAACTTTTATTGCCCACCCATGTATTCAGTTGCTGACACATCCAACCCTCAGACGACCCAAACACAGGCCAGAATACGTGCAGGTTTGTAAGGGGTTTCCCTCCCCATACCTCAGTACAATAGTGAATCATTTTTTCTTTTGATTTGCCCTCTCTTCTAGACGAAATATCCCAGTATTTTATCATTTGTCTTAAAGGACTCTCTTGCGCTATATCTGGTAACCTAGTCAGTTCTCCTATTTTTTGGGGGGATCCCATCCCCATGGAACCAGAGGACTTACTTTTCCCCTGTCCCATCTTCCGGGGTGCCTCCTGCCACACACGCACACACGCCCTCTGTTCGTGACTTGGTCCCTCGCGGGGTTCAAGAAATGCACTACCAAGAGGTCCACTCTCGCCTGGCCTCAATGAGACCTCTCACACATTCACACCCCGGGATCACTACCCCAACCAAACGGCTTACTAGATTTATACTTACCACTCCTGGGTCTTCGTTTGGTCTTCGTGCACAAAATTTAAGGGGTCCTGCAGGTCTTTATTGTTTATCTACCGTATTTTAAGGATGGTTCATGGATTCGGGGTTATTGTCGCAACTCTTTTAAGATACTGGGCTGCTGAAAAACCAGGCAGGGTGCCCCCAGATCACAAGGGTGTACGTCAAAGGACCCAGAATATCCAAGTCACGGCATCAAAATTGTTATAGGTTACCAGCGATGCCTTAAATAAATTGAAGATACTAATTTATAATAATAAACCAATTTATTAGTAAGCGGCAGATAAACAATTTTGGCGTGCCGGGGGAGGCATTTAGAACATAAGAAAGTTCTCTCACAGCTCACTCGCCCCGAGCTCTCAAAGTTCCCTTTTGAACCCTCTGGGTTCCCATCCAGACATGCTCAGTACTTAGGTTCTTATTCATACATAGTCCGGGGCATGTGCTCTTTGCACATGCTCAGTTGCAAAGTTTTTCCCATGCATGTTCCTGGGCTGTGTTCCCAGTGTTGGTGGGCTGGGGGGTTTATTTGTGGGCTGGGGTCTTTGCGATGAAGATTTTTAGTCTTCCTCGGCGTCCGCAAGATGAACCCGGCTTGGAACATGCGCATTTAATAGGTATTTTTCCTCCCCTTCCAGGCTTATCATATTCATAAATCACTTTGACTCTTTGTTTAGGGGAAACTTCTCGGTGTCTCCAGCTTGTCGGCTTGAATGGTGTTATCAGGGTGCAGTAAATTACAGTGTCAGACTTCCCCCCCTTTATTATCAACCTCGGGAACAAACGGCAGTTTGTTAGAAGTATTTCACAGCTATGTGGGAAATGCATACGAAGTTTTACTAAGCTTAAAAAATCCCTCTAAAATATATATAGTTTATTACACTCCCCCCCTCCCACCGGCCCCCTAATGGACTGGGGGGGAAGATGCTCCTCCTCTCCCTCCTCCTCTTCCTCTTCCCGCCCCTCCTCCTGCTCCTTTTCCCTCCTTTCCATTCCACGAGCGAGGATCTCCCCCGGTAAGTTTGGATTTGGGGGGGACACGAGGGGAAAGGGGGAGTTGGGAAGGAGAAGGGGGGGGTGGGACCCCCAAAGTGAGCGAGAGCGGGGGTGGGTCCCTCCCAAACTGACCGAGGGGGGGAGGGGAGGAAGCTGGGGTTGATGGTGGGGGGAGGGGAGTACGACGGGAAAAGGGTGGGAGAAGGGAATGAGGGGAGGTGGGAGAGTGGGAAAGGGGTTCCTGTGGGGGTCCCTTCGTGTCCCCGTCGCTTGATCCCCAGCCAGGGGGGACCCTCGAGACTGAGGTTTGTTGTCGATTCCTGGCAGGCTGAACAAGGGCCCCGGACACGTGTCAGGAACTCTTTGATTGTCCCCAACACTCCCAGAGTTCCCCAATCCCCTCCCCTACCCCCCGCCGTGACTCCCCAAAGTGGGGATATCGGAGAGGGGGGAACCCTGGGAGTGCTTTTTTGGGGTGAATCTTGGTGTTTTGGGGTAAATCTTGGGGCTACCGGGGGGCACAGTGCTGGGAAAGGGGAGTTGGAGGGGACCCCAGGGCCAAGGAAAGGGGAGGGCAGGGATTGGGAGAGGTGGGATGGGGGGTCCAGGGAGAGCCTCTGCACTGGGGTCGCCGGTGTCGGGGAAAGGGAGGGTCTTTGGGGGATTGGGAGAACGGTCAGAAAACGGGGTTCAGGGGGTCCCCCGGTGTTCAAAAACAACCATAAAAAAAAGGGGGATTCAGGAGTCTGGAAAAGACAGGAATGGGGATCCAGGGGGTACCAGCGTCAAGGAAAAGAGGAGCCTGGGGGCTGGGAGATGTGGGAGGGCCGGGAAAGGGGTTGTTGCAGGGGGTCCTGGAGCTGAGGAAGGGGGTGAAAGGGAGTCCCAGTGCTGGAAAGGGGTTCAGAGGGGTCCTGATACCCAGGACTGTGGGTCCAGGGAGTCCCAAGGTAAAGGAAAACGCAGTGTGGAATCTGAGAGAGGTGGGATGGCTGGGAAAGGGGGTGCAGGGGGTCCTGGTCCCAGATAAGGGGGTGCAGGGCGGATCTGGTGTACAGGAATGGGTGGTTCAGGGGTTCCCTGAAGGATAAACCAGGAGTGGGGAACTGGGGAGACCCCTGGAATTTGGGGGTCAGAGTGGTCCCAGGGTCAAGGAAAGGGAGAAACTGGGAGAGGGGCTTCAGGGGGTCCCGGGATCAAGGAAAAGGAGGGCTGGAGGTGAGGTGATGGGAGATGGCAAGGAATGGGGGGCTGGGGGTCAGGGAAACGGGGGAATTCAGGGACTGGGAGAGGTGGGATGGTCAGGAAAGTGGGGGCAGGGGGATCCTGGAGTCAAAGAAAGAAGGGTCTGGGGTCTGGCAAACTGTGACAGGCCAGGCAAGGGGGGACCCATGCCAGGAGGAGCAGGAAGAGAAGGAAGAGGAACAACCGGTGGGGGCTGCTGAGACCCCCAGAGTGGGAAGAGTGGAGACAGACGGTCCCAGACCCGTGGGACCCTGGGCAGCCTGGAAGTTGGGAAGGGGGGAACCTGCAGAAAGGGGAGTTTGGGAGTCCAGGAACCCTTTAATGGGGGCCTGGAGAGGGGGTACCTTGGGACCTCTGGGACACTGAAGTGGGAAGCCTGGAGAAGGGCGAGTCCTGGGACCCCCGGCAGCCCAGACAGAGGGACCTCAGAGAAAGGAGAGCCCAGAGAAGGGGGACCTCCTGGATTCCCAGGATCTCCACCAGCCTGGAGAGGGGGGGACCCCAGAGACGTGGGACCCCTGAGACCCTCAGCACCCCAAAGCAAAGAGTCAGGGGAGGAGGGACCCCTGGGGCCTCCAAAACCCCCAACATCCCTAAGCAGGGGGACCCTGGAGAGGGGGAAGTCCAGGGCCCCCAGCAACCAAAGGAAGGCAGGGACCCTGGAGAAGGGGGTACACAATACATGTAGGACCCCCAGCAGCCCAAACAGGAGGGACCCCCCAGAACCCCAAAGTGGAGAGACCTGAGAGGGGAACCCCTGGAAGAGTTTTTTTTGATCTGAATCTTGGAGTTCTGGTTTGGTTTTTTTTTTTTTGCACTGAAACTTGACATTAAGGAGATTTTTATGGTCCCAGGATGCCCGGTGAGTTCTAAAAATGGACTTGGGCAGGAGGAACCTCCAAACCAACACGCTCAGCCCTTTTTTCCCCTCAGCAGGATTTGTCCTTCCCAAAGCTTGGGCTGATGGAGAATGAGGCTGCGAGGAAGAGGAAAAAGCTGCGGGCCCCCCAGGCAGGTGAGGAGGAAGTCAGTGCCCCTTTGGCCCTGTCTTGTAGTGCATGTGGGGACCGGATCTGGGGGATGTCCTTGGCCTTCCCTCTGGGCTGGAGGCAAATCCCCTGCCTGTCCTTCTTCCTTCCTGCCCCAGGCCCCGAGCTGAGGACGGAGAGCACAGAGGACAAATCCCCCCGGCAGAGCCTGGTGGGAGAGGCCGTTTTGAAGGACTCCCCGGTGCAGGAAGGCAGCGGGGAGGAAAAGCCCCCGAAATGCCCCCGGAGGAGGGACTACAAAGCCAGCTCAGGGTGCTCTGAGGAGGAAAGACCTGGCCTGTGCCAGGAAGGCGGCTGGAGCTTGAACTAGAGCTCTGAGCTGGTGGCCCCTGAGCAGCATCCCAGCAAGGAGAAGCCCTTCATGTGCTTGGAATGTAGGAAGAGCTTCAGGAAGAGCTCCGACCTCCTCAGGCACCAGCACATCCACACTGGGGAACGGCTGTACAGGTGTAGGGAATGTGGGAGGAGCTTCAGGCACAGCTTCACCCTGATCCAACACCAGCATATCCACTCTGGGGAACGGCCCTTCAAGTGTGGGGAGTGTGGGAAGAGCTTCACGACCAGCTCCAACCTCCGCACCCACCAGCTCATCCACACCGGGGAACGACCCTACAAATGCTTGGAATGTGGGAAGAGGTTTCAGACCAGCTCCAGTCTCCTCAGGCATGAGCAGACACACACAATCGAGAGGCCCTTCCGCTGCACCAACTGCGGGAAGGGTTTCAAACAGAACGGCACCCTCATCACCCACCAGCGCATCCACACCGGGGAGAGGCCCTACAGGTGTGGGGAGTATGGGAAGAGCTTCAAGCATAGCTCTGCCTTGACCAAACACCAATGGACTTACCGGTAAGGAAAGCCCTAGGAGTGCCCTGACTGCAGGAAGAGCTTCGTCCGCAACGGGATTAATGGACTCTGAGGGCCGGTGGCATTGGACAGCTCCCTGTGCACAGGTGACTCTGGTGAGCGAGCACTGCCTTGGTGGGCACAGCATCCTAAAATGATGGAATCCCAGAACAGTTTGGTTTGGAAGGGAACTTTCAAGGCCATCTAGTCCAGTGTTCCTGCCATGAGCAGGGACACCTTTCACTAGACCAGGTTCCAAATGTCACCCTGAGTGGGGGCCATGGGCCAGTGCCCGCTGCCAGCAGCAGCAACCCGGGCAGGGCAAGGATCCCTCGCTGGGCTTTGGGCTCTCCAACGGCCCAGGGCAGTGCCGTGGGGATGGGAACCCAGAGTGCTTGGAGCTTCAAAGCCTTGAATATCAGCCCCTGCAGCTCCAAATCTTTCTCTCCACATGCTGCCTCCAGCAATTCCCAAGGCTGTCATGGTCTTGGGGGCCTCCCTTGGGATTTGGCCTCCCTGCGGCCTGATCCCGGCTCTGGACCCAGGAGTGCCTTTGCTGCAGCAGGAAGGGCAGCAGGAGGTTTCCTGCCTGCTTTGGGGCAGTTGAAGGGGCCGCTCATGTCACCCTCCCTCTGTGCTGGGGACAACTTTGCTCTTGGGGACACCGCTCTGCCCCAGCCCAGCAGCACCAGCAGTGCCCAGGGCCAGCACCTTCCCAAGGGGGACCCCTCTGTGCACAGGGACCCCCAGCCCGGGGGGGCCGTGCCAGTACCCCCAGACAAGGTAGTTACAGAAGGACAACAAAACAACAACACATTAAACCTCGATAAAGAATGTATTTACATTATTAAAATCTTCATAAAAACAAGAATCATCCTTACAGAAAAAAAAAATCTTCTTTATAAAAACAAGAATCTTCTTTATAGAAATACTCATCTTCTTAAAAAAAACCAAGCATCTTCTTAATAAAAACAACTATCTTCTTATTAAATACAACTATCTTCTTACTAAATACAAGAAGTTACTTCCTAAAAAAACTCTTCTTAGTAAAAACAGTAACTTTCTAAAATAAAAATCATCCTTAATAGGAACAACAAACTTCTAAAAAAACCCAAAATTCTTAAAAAAAAAAACATCTTCTTTAGAAAAACAAAAATCTTAGGAAAAAACAAAAATCATCTCTATAAAAACGCCCTATATTCTTAATAAAGTCTACTGACTATAAAACATATTTACAGAACAACCATGAACATGCAAAAGATATGTACAAAGTGCCACTCCATGGCCATCATGTCCGTCAGTGTTGGCAGAAAAGCAAGGGCACGGTCAGTGCAGTCGGGTCCTGCTGGGTGTTCCCTGTGCCCCCAGCCTGGCACACGCTGGGCACAGTAGGACTCTGGTGCCAGGCCTGAGCCCAGCTTGGGATGGGAGCTGGGTCCCAGGTGCTGGGACGTGGTTTGTGCGGCCCAAAGTAGGCTCAGGCCAGGTCGGGGGTGGGGGTTGTGCCGCCAGAATCCCGGGCACTGGGCACCGTGCCCCTGAGCGGGGCCACCCAGCCCAGCCCTAGCCTGGCGGCAGGTGACTCCCTGTCCCTGGGGCAGGGCATGGCCATGACGTGCCTTTCCTGCTGCTGGGAATCTTCATCCCAAAACCATGTCCTGCTCCTCATCTTCCTGCTCAAGATCCATCTCCTCCTCTGTGTCCTCCTCCAGATCTATCTCCATATCTTCCTGCACATCCTCCTCCAGATCTATCTCCATCCTTTCCTCACTATCCAATCCCATATCAATTTCCATCTCCTCTCCTGTGTCTCTCTCAGCTGCATCGGGGGCACAATCTCAGAATGGGCTCCCTGTCCCACACCATCCCCACAGAGCTCCAGCCCCCCAGGCGGTCGAGGGGTTCCCACCTGCATGGAACGGCCCCATACCTTCCTCAAGACAAGAGGGAGCATACTGCAGGGATGGGGGACAAGATCCACACAGCAGCTGCTGTTCAGGACTGTTGGGGACTGAAGGGAGCAGGGCAGGACAGTGTGCTGGGAGCAGGAGGAAGGGTGGTCTCTGAGCAGGGGGAAGGGCTGTCTCAGAGCACAGTGAGGGTTGGTCGGTGCAGAGGCTGCACTGGGAGCTGCACAAAGGTGTGATAGCAGCAGGGGAAGGGCTGTGCTGTGCTCGGTGCTGGGTGCTGGCCATTCCACATGGAACACGGGCACAGCTCTGGCAGCTGGGATGTCACAGGAGTTGTGGGGATGGGAACGAGAGAATGATAGAACCCTTGAATGGTTTTTCTTGGAAGGGACCCTAAAAATATCTCGTTCCAACTTGAGCAACCTCCCACCACACCAGGTTGCTGAGGGTTCCATCCAACCGGCCCTTCAGCATTCCCAGGGATGGAGCCTCTCAGGCGCTGTCTGTGCCAGTCCCCTCCAGCCTCACTGGAAGAAAACATCTCCCTCAGATCGACCCTAAATGGCCCTCCTTCAGTTCAAGCCGTGCCCCCTTGTCCTCTCCCAACAGGCCCTGCTGAACACTCTGTCCCAGCTTTCCTCTGGGCCCCTTCAGCTCCTGCCCGGTTGCAATGAGGCCTCCCCGGGGCCTTCTCTTCTCCCGCCTCAGCAATCCCAACTCTGGCAGCCTTTCCTCGGGGCACAGGGGCTCCAGCCCTCGCAGCACCTCGGAGGCCTCCTCTGCACTCTCTCAGCAGCTCCATGTCCTGCCTGTGCTGAGGACTCAGCGCTGGAGGCCGCGATGAGCCCTGCAGGGGCTGCAGTTTCCTGGGGAACAGTGGGGAATGGGGGGTTACCCCTGCAGAGGAAGAAAACACACTTTTGTGCTTAGAGAAAGGGAGGAAGATGCTGCTGGTTCTTTGTGGAGTGTGCAGGGACGTGTCAGGAGCAGGTCCTGTCTGTCCCTTGTCCCAGCACACACCCCAGAGCAGCTCCATGGGGTGTCTGGGCCGGGCGGCGGGTCCATCCCCCAGCTCAGCTCAGAGATCCCTGTGTTCCAACAAGCACAGGCTCCAAAGCAAACCCTGCCCATGGGGACACGGCATCCATGCCATGCTGCGTCCCTCCAGCTGAGTCTGGGTCTGCAGCATCCTGGTTTGCTCACACAGCAAAGATTTCCCCAAAGGATTGGTGGAGCCTGAGCACAGCAGACTTAGCAAAAGCCAGAGGCCCTCGTCCTTCACAGCAGAGGTTTTTATCAATGTCCTTTGTGGTGTTCTCAGGATTGTTTTTTTTTAATACAATCCACATCCCCCTGAGGATTTTGAGACCTCTGTCTGCCCTTTGCCTTCCTCTGGGATGGGGAGGTTTGGCTGCAGTCAGAGCCACAGCCCCACAGTGCCCCCACAGTTCTACCTTGCTCTATACAACTCCATTGTCCCTACAGCCACCCACCAGCACTGGATCTGAGCCTCAGGGCTCTCCCCAATATTTTACCCTTTTCTTTCAGCCACTCTCTTTTTGCCAGGTTGCATCCATAGAATCCACAAACCTCCTATGAGGCTCTCCTCATAAATGTCTTGTCCTCATAAACCCCATAAACGTTGCTGTCTAAAAGGCTGCGGAGGAAAAAAGACTGCAGGCAAAACGAGGTAGGAGGTCAGAAAAGCAGCAGAGGTTTCCATGAGCCTGCAGGCTCCAGGAATACAAAGCCACACCCGTCCTTTCCAATGCAAGGGTTACAGTTTTTAAAATGATTTCCACCCTATCCCCGCAGGCGCTGGCGGAGTTCCCACGTGGGAACTTCAACTACATGAGGCTCCGCGCGGCGCCGCCATTGCCGCTCGTGCCACAGCGCCCCCTGCCGGCTGGGCGGACCGACCGCAGGGAAAGCGGGTCCTGATGCCCCCCGCGAACCCCAGAGACCCCCAAAACTCAGCACACAGAGACTCCACAGGGAGGGTGGCCAGAGGGTCCCCTAAAGCCTATCAGTAGGGTTCAGAGGGTCCCTCAACCCTCACAGGAGGGGTCCTACTGGTGCCATCCAAAGTCTTGGGGGGGAGATGAACCACATGCGGATATAAAACGTTTGCTTTCTTGATTGCTTCCTATTAACAAACTGTACTCACCTGTACAGACAGGTCAGGCCTACCAGGGTCTGCAGGGGCTGGTCGGTGCCCGTGCTTGGCGGATGTCCCCACGGAGCAGCACAGTGTGGATGGAAGGATGAGCATCGCTCCACCCAGCAGTGCTGACACCCCATTCCATCAACTCTACATTACACCACGTAGGGCCAGGACGCAGTAGAAAGTGGTGCTTGAGTGGCAGCCAAACAGCGCCCGTTCATCACCTCATGGCAACAGTCTGGGCGTGCCCCACTGGAGGGCAAGGGCCCAACGACCCCTGCCCACATCATCTTCCTCTCCATCACCTTTCTCAGCCCTATGGACGACCTGTACCATTGTGTTTCAAGGGGATTTGTATCTCTCTTGCAGAGTGGAGCCAAGCCAAGGAGGAACTCAGCTCTGATAATGGGGGACACCCATTTGACTTTGCTAAAGGCACAATAAGCCTTACAGTCAACTTGTGCAATAAAGTCACCTTGTATAACACTCTGGCTGGTTTCACATGCAAATATAATCACTTTCTCACCTCTCTATGCTCCATTGATCATCTGAATCAAAAGTATCCCCCCTTACACCATGGCAATCATTATGCATTCCCATTGTTATACTGGTTCCCATGGCAACCATTATGCATTCTCATTGTTATGCCGTATCCCTGGCAACCATTACCATTCTCATTTTGACATTGCTTACCATTAAACAATGATGCATTCTAATTTTTATGTAGGTTACCATGGCAACTATTTTGCATTCTGGTTTTTACGCCACTTACCATGACAACCATTATGCATTCTCATTGTTACAAGTGGTTATCATGGGAACCATTATGCATTCTCATTGTTAGGTAGGTTACCATGGATACCATTATGCAGTCTCATCGTTTAGGTTGATTACCACAGCAGCCATTATACATTATATTGTTACGTCAGTAAC